GTTTGAAATATAGTAGTGATGGGGGAAGGGGTTTTCAAATGAAGGACATTTTTACATCAGAGTTGATGGGTGGCTTACCATGTGGATTGAGGACACAAGAAGCATTTCAGATAATGTAAAGGCTAAAAGCTAAAAAGCTTTGCCACTGGGTGAGTGATAAGGCTATTAAGTTAGAAAATAGAAGAAGGGAAAGGTTTTGGGAGCATAAAAGTGTTCAGTTGAGTTTTGAACCTTTCGAATTGAAGACATCTGTAGGACATTTATGCAGGAATGAATACAAAATACTTGTATGTCATTGTGAAGATTATGAGTAAGAGGACACTGTTGATTTCTTCTTGAAATTCTGGGCTATAAGACAGATCTAGGCTGTGTGATAATGATAGTGACCTTTCCCCAACCCCATAACAGAAAATCTCAAATTTAGTACATAATTTCATTTTGCTTTATGTCACATTCTAAATGTTTTAAATCACCTTTTTCTCATCCTGAGATTGTAAACATTCACTGGTGCTATTGAAGTCCTTGTAGTAGCCTCAGTGATTGCTATTACCATAGAGCCTTAGGAGAATTTATTTTCCTTGTATAGTTGATGATGCTACAATAGTAAGTGTACTGAGGGATTGCTGTCATTCATGCATTCATTCATGCCGTGTGTAAAGTATTGTTGCTCTGCAACTGGGCATAAAGCATAGAGTTACTTTGTTTCTGCAAATAGATATCATAATAAGATTTTACAAAAATACTTCTTTTTCAGAGACTTATTATTTTATATGTAAAAATGACTTTTTAATTTCTTAAAACCTTTTGTTTTTTTGAGGCAGGGTCTTGCTCTGTTGCCCAGGCTGGAGTGCAATGGCATGATGAGGGTTCACTGCAACTTCAACTTTGCAGGCTCAAGCAATCCTCCAACCTCAACTCCTCAAGTAGCTGGGACTACATGTGTGTGCCACTCTACCCAGCTAATTTTTTAAAATTTTAGTAGAGATGAGGTCTTGCTGTGTTGCCCAGGCTCTTCTCAAACTCCTGAGCTCAGGCAATCCTCGTGTCTCGGCCTTCCAAAGTGCTGGGATTACAGGCATGAGCCACTATGCCCAGCTAATGTCTTGCAACCTTAAAATTACTTTTGGTGGAGAGGGAGGTGTAGAGGGGAGTGAAGAAAGTTAAATAATTAATAAAATATAATATCTTAGGATGTCACTGTATACTGATGTCTGCCGGAGGGAATGCTTGCCAGACTTGATTCTGAGAGTCAGGTCTCCCTAATGCTTTTCTTTCTTTTTGAGACAGAGTCTTGTACTGTCACCCAGACTGGAGTGCAGTGGTGTGACCTCAGCTCACTGCAACCTCTGCCTCCTGGGTTCAAGCAATTCTCCTGCTTCAGCCTCCCAAGTAGCTGGGACAATGCTTTTCTTTACTGCTGTCCTGCTTGATTTCCTTTGTTTGTCCACTGTATTTACAAATGTGGCATGCTAATAGAATGTGGAAATTAAGACCAAAGTCTTAATTCATACTGCCTTGGATTCATCCACCAAGTTTGTGTCTGTACAAACTTGGATACATTACAGCCTTCATGTGTCTCAGTTGTTTCCTCTGTTAATGAGGATAAGAGCATTATATAACTCACTTATAAAACTGTCACATGAAAGGTAGCGTCCTTAGTACAGTGCCGGGCACATAGTATATATGCAGTAAATGTTAAAATAATAGGGATGAATTACTGTAAGACCTAACAGTACTCTGTTTTCCTTAAAGTGCTGTATAACATTCAAGTAGGACAACAGACATTTATTTGTATTTACTAATTATAAATATTATATATTCAGTGATTGTTTTACTTTATTTTTATTTTTTAAATTTTATACATTTTTCTGCCTTGAGATTTTTATAATCCAAGATGTATATATATGACTCTTCTATCTTTGTCCTTGTACATTTGTCCCTTGTATACAAACAAACAATTGAAAAAAATAAACTGAAATATAATCTGGTCTCATATTCGTAGAAAATAATCTCCCCTGTCTCTTTCCTTCCCTTCTTCCCTCATGACCAATTAGACTATCTTTTAAGAACACATCTTATAACCTATCTTATCAGAAACCTCTGTGGAATAGTGATATAGGGTACATAAAAAGTAAGAGTAAGTAAAGGTGATAAGTAAAGCATATATAAAGCAGAACAGAGACTTCCAGTAGAGGGCGATGTAGGCCAAACAATCAAGCCACATAATATGCACCTGTGATAGGCAGCAAATTTAAAGTTTTCCCCGCATAAAAAATCTAAGTAGTAATTAATTTGCTAAATATAAGTTAAGTAACACTGGAATTTCTGTTTTGCTAGTTGCCAAATCCAAAGCGATTATACAAGTACCTAGGGAAGAACTGTGAGGACTATATGTTATGTATTGCCATTGTCCCATAACTTTCTCACATGACTGTTTCAGAGATGGAGTCAAGACTAGATCATAAACACCTCTCTCTCTCTCTATCTCTCTCTGTCTCTCTCCCCCTTTCTTCTCCCCTCCCCCCTCTCTCCCCTTCCCTCCCTCCCTCTCTCTGAATCTTTAAAAACAGCAAGTAATGGAAGTTACAGGCTGGATAACTGGAAAACAAAGAAAGTACAGCAGCTATATTTCCATAATTCAAAAATATTTTTTCATGGAGTTCTAGATTATCTGAGTAAACTAGAGTTAGCCCTAAATACCATAAACTGTTGGAATGAATTAGAACATTATCTTTTTTTTAAAAGAAAAAATATTGTTTTAAAGATAATATTGTAACTCAGGTCTTTAAATTTCTGAAACTGCTGAGACCTGTACTTAAAGAAAATTAACAGCATTTAATTTATGTTAGATTGGATTTTTTTCAAGTTTTTTTCGGTAGGATAGTTAAGTTGATTTTAACGTTTACATTTCCAACAGAAACATCACAATTCTTTCTTTTGGCAACATTGTCCAATAGCTAACTATTATAATGGTCCCTCTGCACTTGGAAATTTAATACTCTTATTCTATCACACTCTACGAAATTGCTGCCCTGGAACCTGGGGATGTTGAGACTCCCCTTAAACCTGAGAATTTCACTTAATAGTTGACTGAGTTTTCTACTTTGTATCATGGCTAAATATTTTGATGTGGATTTTATTACTTTTGGCTGAGTTAGTAAATTCAGTTTATAAAATATCCACAGAAATTTACATCATACACAATATATATCTTGAGTTAATTTCCTCTAGTAATTTTAATTTATGTTTAGTTGATTCAGAAATGGAAGGCATATATCTCTGCTGATTTTATTCATATTAATGAATTTGGTAAACATTACCACCACCAGCTTAACAGATATTAGCTTAATATGTAGTTTTTATTTAGAATTCTACAAACCCTCATCACTTATCTTACTTATCTTGCTTTAAGTTTTGTCAGGTAACGTCACTATTTTTTGTGTTTAAGAATATTTTTATAATATAATAAGTAACTACAGAAGATTAGCTATGCTAGAGAAGATTTCATAGCCCATAGTGTGGATTTTTTTTGTAGAACTGAACTTCTTCCCTAGATTGCCGTATGGTTTCATGAGGTGAACATTTTGCATACTTCATATAAGCCTTTAAGATGTGTGTTTTTTTTTGAATTATTCAAAATTAGTTTTCAATGAATGCGCCTGATTGGACTTTCCTGTCTAATGAGTTCCTTTGAACCACTACAGACACATTGGAAGGCTATCTTTTAGCTCTTAAATAAATTAACTTGCCTTAAAAATAGCCATAGAACAATGAGATTGAGCTAATCTGTCAGCGTGCCTGTGTGCATCCATCATAATAAGCAGAGCTGTGCTGCAGTAATAAGCTTAAAACTCACTTACTGAAAGCAATGAAATTTAATTTTTATATATGCTCTGTGTTCATTGTAGTTTGATAGTAATGCTGTCCTTGCTGTAGTCACTTAAGGATTCAGGCTGAGGAATGTTTCGTTTTGACACATGCTTCGATTACAGAGCTGAGACAAAAAAGAGCACTGAATCTTCTGACACCCTTAAAACTTCTGCCTGAAAATGGTTTGGTTCGCCTTGGCAAGATAACAGCCACACCTGAGTTCAACAAGGTTCATGAGCCTCCTACAGAGAAGGGCACTAGATATTTGCAAACAGCACAACAGTTTGTCATTCTAGTCTAAATTAGTGAGTATTTGGAAACTGCTGACAGTTACACACTAAGCTTATAGAATGTGTGGTTTAAAACTGGCCATGGGAAGAAAATGAGTTATTTTCACCAGGTTATAACCTGATTCGTTTTGGAACTCATATTGACAGTGCATTGAGCACATGCACCCCACCCCCCTGCCACAAGTCTGCGTCACCCAAATGATGCAGGAACTGTTTGGCAGGGACATTTATATACCACTGGGGATATTACCATTGTTCCTCATGCAGTGTGGACAGGGAGTAACAGTGTTGCCCGGGCTGACTACCTTTAAATGCACAGTTATAGGCCAGTCAGGACAGTTTGTAAATTTAATATACTACTATTCAGATTTTAACCAACCTTCCTTCCTTCCTTCCTTCCTTCCTTCCTTCCTTCCTTCCTTCCT